TATAGTATATATTCAAACATTATTTAAATATTATCCACAAAATTATTTTTTTTTTAGACCAAAACAGTTTTTTGCTTTTTTGCCCTTTATTGCACCTTTTTATGAAACCCAGTGGATTTAAACACGATTTTAATGGTTTTCACAAAATTTTTTTTCAGAACAGTTTTTTTAGACCAAAACAGCTTTTATGGCTTTTTACCTTTTTTTGCGCCGTTTTATAAAACCCAGTGGATTTAAACATGATTTCAATGGTTTTCACAAACTTTATTTTAGACCAAAACATTTTTTTGGGTTTTTGCCCTTTATTGCACCTTTTTATGAAACTCAGTGGATTTAAACACGATTTTAATGGTTTTCACAAACTTTTTTTCAGAACTTTTTTTTTAGACCTAAACAGCTTTTTTGGCTTTTTTACATTTATTTCATCCTGTTATAAAACGCAGTGGATTTAAACATGATTTTAATGGTTTTAACAAACTTTTTTTTAGACCAAAACAGTTTTTTGGGTTTTTTTTTCTTCATTGCACACTTTTATAAAACCCAGTGGTTTTATTACCACGAAGATTTGATGCTCTTGGTTTACAGAATTCAATACACTCTCGTAATTGTTTCAATTGACAAAACGCACTCGAGATAAATTTTTTCACAAAAAAGGCAAATTTACATAAAGTGACATAAAAACCCTCGTTTACGAAAAAAATCACACCTGGTAAGTTCCAATTTTGTTGGCTGTATCTCCATTGGCAACAACCCTATCAGCTCCAACGACGACTGCCGTTATATCTTTGCTCCTCATGAGCGCCGCGACCATGTCGTCGCAGATCAATGTTCCTGGGATCTTGTCGTGCACCAGCTCGTAGGCTGTCAGCCTCGCTCCCTGATTGTACGGCCTTGTCTCCGTGCAGTACACTTGCTCTGGGAACACAATTTTTTTTTTTTTTTTTCCAAGAAATTTTATTCTACAGCCAACGAATGAACTTGACTAACCGTAAAGTTGCATAACTAAAGCAAACAATAATAATTTTTCGTTTTGCTTGGCACAACGGAAAACAATTGATTAACAAAAGAAAATAAAAATATATGTTTAAGTGAAAACTCAATAAAATAAAATTATGGATGTAACATAATTAGAGCTAATAATACTTATGTAAATACACTAAAATAGGCACAACAAATTTTTGTTGGTACGAAATCCTGTTTGTACGTACACCATAGCTAATATTTTATGTACAATCCGGTAATACACAAGTACGACATATTTAAAAATTTTAAAAACTAAAAATAATATTCATTCAATGACTCATAAGTTAATTTACACGATTTGCAATAATCAGCATGAAAAAATCCAATAGAAAATGACATTTGAAATCAACATACTAATGTACTGTGCATTGTAAAGCTTTATTGAAAAAAAAAAAATTACTGACACTTTTTAAATTATACATATTTTAGGAACAAAATTTTACAGTAGTGTGAATAAAGTACTCGACATACCGATTTTTCCATTACTGTGCAGTGATCGAATCACACCCAGGGCCGTGCCGTAGCCTGCAGTAGCTAAACTCCCAGTATTGCAGTGGGTAATTATCCTTATTTTCCCTTTGCTTGGGCACGTCTTCAGAATTTCAGTAGCACCGTGATCACCTATCGCCTTGTTGTCTTTGATATCTTTCTCCAGCATCAACGTGATCTCCGAGATTATCCTGTATCGAGCAAGTTTGCCGATAGTTTAAGAAAAAAATTAAAATTTTCTTCTTTTTTTTATTATATTTTTCGGAGTCAAAGAAACTTTAGTATTTACTTGAATATATAAAAAGCGAAAATTAAAGATAAAAAGTGTCATTTTCGTCCAGTTCAATTTCTTATAAGTGTAAGTAAAATTTATCGAATTTCAGTAAAAGCAGATTTTCTTACAAAATTGCCAACTAACATTAAATAAAAAAAATATTTTTTCTCAATTTTGCAAGTTTGTTACACAATATCTATCAAGTTGCAGATGAAACGACTCACTGAATTTTTTGCTGAAAAAAAAAAAAAACTTTTTACCCAAAATTCAAAATAATTCAGTGTGAACTTAAGGTGGCTTAGACGGTTGGTACCGTACATAGGGTAGGATGCCATAAGAGCCCCTAAAAATCAATGCTTTTCGACGGTAAATTTTTCAATAAATATAGTTAATTCGATAAAACCAAAGTACAAGATCAAGAAGTTGCTAGAAAAGTACCGTGAAATTATAATTGTGAAAATTGGGAGATGTTGCAAGGTAAGCCAGATTAGTATTTCACACTTTTCTTCTGATTTTCTCTGAAGTTAAGTTGTTAACCCTATAATTTTTAGAATTTAATAGATTCTTTGTAAAATAAATACCCAAAAACTATTTTAAATTTTTGCGGTTAATCAAAGATTTCCGAAGTTACAATCAATCTTGTAACCACTGTCCATAAGAGTAGGAGTTGAATTCGTGAATTTTCAGTAGTGATTTCCGAAAAAATTTAGTCATTGACCCCAGTATTTTTTTATCGCAAATGAATTTGGCATACTTTATTTACATGATTCCAGAATTTCAGAGGTTTTGATCAAGCCGATAAACATCGCCCAAGCCACCTTAAGCCAAGTACAATTTTTAGATTCCGTTATTTTGAAAGTTGTAACTTTACAAAATGACACTATCAGTAATACACTTGACACACTTGACACACTTGTCTTTCATTTCGATCGGTGTCATTTTTTCAGCGCACAGTTTTTTGGCCAAGAGCGTGAACTCATCGGCCGCGAGTTTGATGTTCACGGCTGTCGGCCTGGCAGTGATGAGGTACTCGAATTTATCCTTGACCTCTTGGTATAGCTCTTCCGGCGATTGGTAAGTTTTGTGCTGAATTTCCACGGCCAAACTCAGACAGCCAACGATCGCGATAGCCGGTGCCCCTCGGACCTTATTAATTTATGATTCGTAAAATGCTTTAACGATTACTTGAAGACAAACCTACTTTACTACAGTTGATTTCTCGGTAGATTTAAAATGTTATGTAAACAAAAAAATATGCAATTATTTTTCCAATGTTTTTTGCCAAATCTCAATTATTTAATACTCTATTTTTTCAACAAATTGTTTCTGTTGTTGTTATTTATAATATAAAAGTAATCAAAAATTTTTCTAGCAAAATAAATCGTGTGACGTTTCTTTGGTTGAAAAATTTACATTACTTAATTTAAACAAATATTAAAACTATTTTTCATTGTAAAGTATTATTGTTATAATGTATTAAGTAATATATTTTCATTGAGTTATGAAAAATATTAAGAAAACTATCGATGCCCACTTTTGTGTCTAGTTCGTATATTAAATGATAATATGTTACAAAAAAATTGATCTGCAGTTTTTAGTTCATCGAGAATTCCACAAAAAAAAATTGTTTTTTTTTGTTGTTTTTTTTCAGAGAAAACTCTTGTTAAGATTCAAAAAAATTTCAAAAGTAACGATCTTCCAATGACTTTGAACTTTTAAAGTATTTTTTTTATGTTTCACCCAGTGCAGTTTGACAAAGTTTAATAACTTATTTTTCGAGGTCCTCGTTTTTTCAGAATTGCGTAAGTTTTAATTAAAATTTTGAAAAAATGAAGTGAGAAAAATATTTTTGTCCATAAAAATTCCACCAGTTTAATTAAACAATAATTTGTCATTTTCTAAGTGTAACAATATAGTGGAAAGTTTATGAACGCATATAGTCTCTTAAACATGATAAAACGTAAAATTTTACGTTACGGTTACGAATTAGCCTCATGTTTCACGCCACAAATAACACAAGTTGTTACTGATATGACGATAACGATGACTGATATAGTTGATAAGCTTTAGACAAATACACATTTGTATTTGTATTCAATTATCAGACTTGGGCATAATTACTTTTTGGGAAACTTTGTAACAAAATTTGTTTCCCCTAAAATGTTCTGCACCATTGATGCTAAAAAATTTTTCTCGTTCCTACTGTTAAGTAATGCGTAACACATCACCTAACAAAAATGTATTATTAACAATAATAATACCTGATGTATGAAATAAGAAAAACCAGTTTTTTCGTTTTTTTTTTTTTTTTTTTTTTTTTTTTTTTTTTTTTTTTTTTTTTTTNCTTTTACTATAAATAATATAACAGTAACGTACATATAAATAATAGATAATGTATGAATAAACTATTGTTGAACTTTTAAGTTGATACAATTGTAGTAATGATTAATATTTTTCGTCAATTTAAAATTTCATACAAATATCATTATATTGGTCAAGGAGACGAGTCATCGAGACGCGGTCATACCAACACTCCACGCGTACCATCATCGAGGGATTATTATGCTTTCCGTATACCTTTACGCAGTCGCGATGGAGCGTTTATTTACAGGAGCTGTAATTTCTCCGTAAGAATAACTGGACCGAAAAGAGGAAGAGCTGCTCTCGCTACTGTTCAGTTACAAGATTGTTTCATCGTCTCTATCCAAAGAACATTATCTCGCATGGGTGTAACGAAAGCTGCTGTAGATAACAGCCCGATCCCACGCAAGACTCGACCTTTGTATACTGAAATCACTATAATTCACTATCATTATTTATTTATTTATTTTTTTTTTTTTAAGATCCAAGCAGGGATCTGCTATTTTTTACTTCTCGTTATTTCAGCAGCTGAGTGCCGGTAGCCACAGCTTTTTTTCTGGATACGTGGTATTGATAAACAAAGCTTACATAGGTATGCAGATTAGTTAAAAAATATACGTGTTGTAGATCACGTGTTAACATCAATACATATCGCGAATGTTATGGAATTTTAGCGTTCGTAACGACGCCACACGGCTAAAGTCACTGTCACTATTTGTTGAGAAAAGAAATCAGGCGGCGGGAGAAGTTTAAACTGGCGGCACTGGTAACAACTCAATTAATTTTTCAAGTACTTTAACACTATTTTATGATTAATGTTTTTCTAATGCAAAATATAATGAATTACTTGTATTTTTAAGTAGTACATTGGAAGTATAAGTAATAAAAAAATTTTTTTGATGCAAATAACTCACTGTATTTTTCGAAAAAAATTATAGTTACCTACAAAACAAAGGATGCCATAAGAGCCCCTAAAAATCAATGCTTTTCGACGGTAAATTTTTCAATAAATATAGTTAATTCGATAAAACCAAAGTACAAGATCAAGAAGTTGCTAGAAAAGTACCGTGAAATTATAATTGTGAAAATTGGGAGATGTTGCAAGGTAAGCCAGATTAGTATTTCACACTTTTCTTCTGATTTTCTCTGAAGTTAAGTTGTTAACCCTATAATTTTTAGAATTTAATAGATTCTTTGTAAAATAAATACCCAAAAACTATTTTAAATTTTTGCGGTTAATCAAAGATTTCCGAANCAAAAAAATACAAAATCTTAAAAGTGCTAAATCTTTACAAATGGTAGTGCATGAATAAGAATTGGCTGAAATAAAAAAAAAATAAAAATCGAGTTTTTTCGTCTAAACATCGTGGGTCAACCCATTAGTGATATAGCCATATTTTAGTTGTCCGTACTGGCATTACCGCAATTACAAAGATCGTCCACGCAAATCCCCCACTTCCATCCCATTTGGTTACAGTAGAAGTTGCACTTTTTAGCGATGCAAAAGGCAGAGGCTGTAAAATCATCATAAACAAGTTTCTTTTAACAATTTCATTTTATTCGCTTGGGTTTATAATGTCACAATAGATAAATTTACTATTACTGTAAAAATAATCATAAAATGAAAAAAAAAATTTTTTAAGTTATATATACTTTCAAAAACCTCATTATTACGTTAAATTTATCATAGGAAAAAAATACGGTTTTACACCAGAAAAAAAAATACCCACAAAATCTGCTTAGAATACAATCTTTGTACACAAAAAACTACAGTTTTATTGTGAGTAAATCGTTTTATTGAACAAAAATATTTTTCTATAAGCAAGTTGGTTTCATAAAAATAACAAAGTGTAGTTTTACAATTAAATAATTTTTTGAGTGACAAGCGTTTTAAAATTTAAATCGGTTGGCGATCCTCATAAAAGTTCGAACAATTATTCAAAGAAATGGACGAGATAATTTTATGACACATGTATTTTATACGTACATTTTACATTTTTAAGCTAACTCAAATACTTTACATACTACTTCACAGTACTACATAAACAAATTTTTACAAAATAATGTAAATGATATTTTATTCCAAGTAACCATTAAAAAATATTTAAGAACATAAAAATAATTTTGGAAAGTGTTACATCACATTTACAAATTAAATGACATGCGTATGTTTTATGCAGAAACTGTTGGATGAAACTCAAAAATAAAATCTTTGTCAAAACTAAGTTCTAATTTTTACAGCATTAAGAGGGTAGGTTACTTCTCAATGTTCAGTCATAATATATTTTATTACAAACTAGCCACAAAGGCATCTGTCGCCTATACAAATCGCATATTTTTTTCCTTTGACTTTGCAATCAGATGCGCACTTTTTAAGGTTACAGGCAGTTGACGCTGTAAAATTATTATTATCAACATTATATCAATTTTATCAATGTTACAAGTTAGTTTTTTCAAATTATATTTTTATTTATCAAACGAATTTATACAATTCATTCATATTATTCCTCTTAAACTGTGAGCTCTAAAAATTTTGGATTTTTCACTTCGTTATAAAAAAAAAGTTTCTTACTACTACCGGAAAAAAAAAAAAATTTTTTTTAATTTGATTTACTTTTTTTCTTTTTCTAAATTTAATTTTTCTCTTTTTTCTAAATTACCAACATACGTATTTACACATTTTTCTTTGGTAACAAAAGTAAATCATTTCTATAAAGAAGTTGTGCTTAATAAAGTATGAAAGAAAAATTAAATTAGCACTTACAGTAAACGACGAAAGCAATGAGAAGTAAAATAAAAAAGATGGCCCTCATTTTTCAATTTCGTCTTGAGAAGAGCCGATGGAAGTGAATGAATAAATTCTTCTGTTATTTTAACCCACTGCTAGTGTTATATATATACGCCAAAACTTGTCATGTCTTTGTATTCAAGAATAATGATTATATCACTGATGATAAAATAATATAGATTAGATAGCAAGCAGATTCATTTCTTCAAAACACTACGGTATTGCAACTAAGGTAAAAAGTGTAAGTTGAGTGATGGAATTTTAATTTCATATTGTATTACTTGTTTAATATTATATCCAAGACAAATTTTATTTCTTATTTCTCATTTTGCTGTAAATGTTAAATGAAAAAATTGCTGCAGTACAAATGTTTTTGTCTTTTAAAATATTTTTTTTAGTTTGGAGCATCAGGATGACTTTGCAAAAGAATATACGGTACCAAAAAGTTATGTGTTAAAAGACTCTAAAAATTTCGTGCCACTGAAAAAAATTTTATGGTTTTTTTTTCATACAGGTATTTTGCATTATAGAGCACCTGAAATTAATGTCATAGTACACGAGATGTGAAGTAAAAATAATTGTTATACATTATGTGTAGCGCTACAAACGTGTACATAGTAAATAAGACTTTTTTAATATCAAACATATATCTATCCATATTAAAACTTTCTAGCAAAGTTTCGAGATGTAAAATCGCAAGTGCTTATCATTCCAGTGAAACTCTTCTTGGGGTGACATTTTAATTAAAAAATTACTAGAAAATAATTTTAAAGTCCATGAATGATAAAAACGTTTTATTGCATGCCACAACTTACGAATATTAATAACAATAACATTACCAAAAACAACAACAAGTAAGCGTACAAAAATTGTTAGATCCACTATACAGGTTGGATAATAATACACAAAAAAAACTGGAGGATAATGATGGTAGAAACGCAAAAACAAAAGTACACAAAAACATCGGCCAGTTTGTCAATATCCATTGTCAAAGTTTGTTTTGTCCCAAGATTTTTGCAATAGCAGGAGTTGTCTACGCATATTGCCCAATTGTATCCCAATCTATCACAGACCGCTCTACACAGAGAAATGTAACAGGCAGCTGATGCTATAAAAAGTTTTATAACATTATTATTGTGATGACTATTTATTTTAGTTATGAGTTTTTCAATCGACTTTTTCCACATTTGCACGGTAAGTGAAACACGTTATAAAACAACTTTTAACGTTATAAAAATGTAACATAAATAATCCGGTCTTACACACTGGTTCAGAAAAAATGATGTTTCTAATAAAAAAAAAAAAAAATTAACTGTATGGCATAAGGTGCATATTATAAATTGATTCCTAAAAAAAAAAACTTGTATTACATTCATGTATAATGTGCCCAAAAAATTTTTGTTTTTTCGTAATTTATAGGTTTGAGTATATTTGATAGTGCGCCTTAAGATGTTAAATATTAACGTCAGCTTCTGTAAAACAACTTGTTAGTCAACTGTAAACAATCTCATTATTTAGAGCGTTAACTGAGACTCTTAACTGTACATGTAGTCAGATAATTTCGAAATGGTACCTCTTTGTTAAGTTGGTCTGAAAAGTCATGCATCGTACTATAAAAAAAAAAAAGTTTCATGAATAAAGATATAGTTTGGTTGTGTTATAATATTTTTCAAAAATACAGAAATCATAGTTAAAATTGGTAATAAAAAATGTCAGACGCTCCTGAGACACCATACCACCTGAGATACTATGATATAAAATGTTAGTTCGAATGACACAAGTCTCGCATATAACCATTGCTGCGTTTTTACGTACCATATGTTTCTGTAATCACTGCTTTTCGTGTTTATTATTATTATTTTTTTTTTTTTCTGTAATTACCATCCTATTTTCCTCAAGTATGCGAGTCTTTCGTGCGGGCGCATTGCAAAGTTCCCCTCAGACGACTCGGTCGTCCATCCTACTTGGTACTTTTTACAGAGTGGAGCCATTGTCTCAAGCACACCCCAACTATTATCAAGATTAATAGAAGGATCTTTCCCAATAAACCATCTAACTCGCTGTACTGACCATTTTATAACCAACAGTGACTTGACCCGATTAGCTGGCGAGGTGTTGGCTTTACCTGGAAAAGGAAGCCCCTGAAGATCCAGATATCACCAGAAAAATCGATTATTTGTTTTAAAAATCGGATAAGTGGTTTTTCGGCATCCTGGGTATTCATCCCATCGAAAAAAACCAAGATAAAATCACGATAATATTTGAAGGGATTCGAACCCACGGCCCCTCGAGTATCTCCGGCTAGGAGGCTAGCACTCAAACCCCTGAGCTATCGATACTCTATCTTAAATCACAGTATTATATATGTTTGAGAATAAGTTAATACTAAGTCACAAAACAAACTCCAAACAAAGTCTTGCAACAACTTACCTGGGCTTTGATACACGTATCTAAGGGTAAATGACCCAACTACTGCGCACTCGTGAGTAATACAAAATAAGAAAAACAGACTGGAAAATTCGTGTGCTCAAAAATTGTACTTACTACGTTTGGACATTATGGGAGATACCCACGCAGTAATTGAAAGTGCATTAACTGGTGCTGATTTTATAATCGTCCATATTAATATAAGCAAGTGACATCAACATCGAAAAAATTATTTTAAAAAAAATAAATAAAAAATAAGTAACGTAATAAATGTTGGTAGGTTATTTCCCAAATATCAGCAATGTATCTAAATTCTACTAAATTAATTCTAATAAAAATATTGCTCTTTCTAACAATATTTTTTGTTTAAGCACCTCTAATTACACTAATTTGGTATGTTAAAAAAAATTATCAAAAATACAATCCACTATTGAAACTATTGGTCACATATATATAAAAAGAGAAAAAAATTCGTTGATTCGTACAGCGTTTTCTATTTTGCCCGCTCCAGACCTGAGGAGCAAATTTTTTTTTTTGCGAAGGTTTAAAAGTTATGTACATCAATAACAATAGCAAGTATGATATTTTAGTGATATAACAATTAAGAAATCTACGGAAAAAAATTTTTTATTAGGAAATAAAATTTTTATGAATTTTTGTTATTACAAACAGTGTTTATTTATTTACTACAATATTTTGATAAGGTATACTTAACATAATTATTACACACCAAAGATGAGTACCTTAAAAAAATGTTGACTTTGTTTAAGCATGATAGTACTTCAACTAGTGTTCATTTATTTAAAAAGCTAGAGAAACTGAGCTCAGATAGTACAGTTTACATTTAATCTATACATGAATCCCATTGATTTAAGGAGGTTAGATACAATCTTTCAGAGGGGTGGTGAAGCGGGGTCAGGGGTGTGGGAAGCTCACAGCATTACTGACAGAACGTAATACAGCATATTCTTATGGAAAACATGCATCCATCTTATAAACCTAACCAAATTTCCATTTTTATTTCAAAAAATCGTGATTTTCTCTTTAATTCGTATGGATACTGACAAAAATCAGAGGATAATATGAATCTGCAGTATTTAAAGTATCAAAGTATATTTTTTGTCGATTTTTTAACGATTACTAAGGAATGTTATTTTTAGGTCACAACATTGTTCCCATAACAGCCCGTGTTAAATTGTTCATTTTTTATTTTGAAATATCTTAATAACTACATGGCTGAGATTGCCCAAAAAAAGTACGTTTGTTTTTCATAACACATAGAATGAAACAAAAATTAAATTAGAGCCCCCAACTATTGTCGATGATATGTATCCAACCTCCTTAAGCTACGGTTATTTGTAACTATGAGACTTACAAAAAGGTAAAAGCGTACTTGACAAGACTTTATGTGATCAACACTTATTGTAAACTTTGAAATATTAATGCATCGTGAGATTATTGGAGATTTTGTTACTTTCTTGACTCTACAAGCAACTGTGCGGACGCTCATCCATTGGACGCTCATGGATTTTTACGTGCTTTATAAAATTACGTTGGTTACTAAATAGCCTTTGGCAAATTCACACTGACCATAAGGTGTGCCAGTGTGGAGGCGCATGTACCAGACGAAATTGATTTTTCGCAATAGTGTGCGGAAAACACCTATTTTCCGCACACTTATTGCGAAAAAACTTGTACGCAACTCGTGCGGAACGATTTTCCGCACTTGTTACGTAAATGTCTATTCTGTCTCAAAGATTCTGAACAATATGGGCATTAAAAAAGTTTCTCCTCCGTATGAATCTGGATGTGCCTCGTGAGATAGATTTTCTGTCTAAAAGATTTGGGACAATCTGGGCATTTAAAGGGTTTCTCCCCCGTATGGATCCTCATATGCCCCGTGAGATGGTTTTTCTGTCTAAAAGAAGCGAAGCAATCTGCACATTTAAAGGGTTTCTCCCCCGTATGGATCCTCATGTGATTTTTGAGATTTTCAGAGTCGGTGAACGGCCTTTGGCAGATGGAACAGTGACAAGAAGGTATGCCAGTGTGGAGGCGCATGTGCCCCGTGAGATGGTCTTTACGCCTGAAACATTCGGAACAATCTGGACATTTGAAGGGTTTCTCTCCCATATGGATCCTCATGTGATTTTTGAGATTTTCAGAGTCGATGAACGGCCTTTTGCATACAGAACAGTGACAAGAAGGTACACCAGTGTGGAGGCGCATGTGCCTCGTGAGATGGATTTTCTGTCGAAACGATTCTGAACATTCTGAACACTGAAAGGGTTTATCCCCCGTATGGATCTGCATGTGTGATGTAAGGGTGGATTTCTGCCTAAAAGATTTAGAACAATCGGGGCATTTAAAGGGTTTCTCTCCCGTATGGATCCACATGTGTCTTTTGAGATTTCCAGAGTCGGTGAACGGCCTTTGGCAGATGGAACAGTGACAAGAAGGTATGCCAGTGTGGAGGCGCGTGTGCCTCGTGAGATGGTCTGTACGCCTGAAACATTCGGAACAATCTGCGCATTTAAAGGGTTTATTTCCCATATGGATCCGCATGTGTGACGTAAGGTTGCATTTATGCCTAAAAGATTTAGAACAATCAGGGCATTTAAAGGGTTTCTCCCCCGTATGGATCCGCATGTGTGACGTAAGGTTGCATTTATGCCTAAAAGATTTAGAACAATCAGGGCATTTAAAGGGTTTCTCCCCCGTATGGATCCGCATGTGTGACGTAAGGTTGCATTTATGCCTAAAAGATTTAGAACAATCAGGGCATTTAAAGGGTTTCTCCCCCGTATGGATCCGCATGTGTGACGTAAGGTTGCATTTATGCCTAAAAGATTTAGAACAATCAGGGCATTTAAAGGGTTTCTCCCCCGTATGGATCCGCATGTGTTTTTTGAGATTTCCAGAGTCGGTGAACGGCCTTTGGCAGATGGAACAGTGACAAGAAGGTATGCCAGTGTGGAGGCGCATGTGCCCCGTGAGATGGTCTTTACGCCTGAAACATTCGGAACAATCTGCGCATTTAAAGGGTTTCTCCCCCGTATGGATCCGCATGTGTGATGTAAGGGTGGATTTCTGATTAAAAGATTTAGAACAATCGTGGCATTTGAAGGGTTTTTCTCCCGTATGGATCCGCACGTGTGACGTGACGTAATATTGCATTTATGCCTAAAAGATTTAGAACAATCGGGGCATTTGAAGGGTTTTTCTCCCGTATGTATCCGCATGTGTGATGTAAGGTTGAATTTCTGATTAAAAGATTTAGAACAATCGTGGCATTTGAAGGGTTTTTCTCCCGTATGGATCCGCATGTGCCTCGTGAGATGGATTTTCTCTCTAAAAGATTCTGAACAATCTGAACACTGAAAGGGTTTATCCCCCATATGGATCTGCATGTGCCTCGTGAGATGGATTTTCTCTCTAAAAGATTCTGAACAATCTGAACACTGAAAGGGTTTATCCCCCATATGGATCTGCATGTGCCTCGTGAGATGGATTTTCTCTCTAAAAGATTCTGAACAATCTGAACACTGAAAGGGTTTTCCCCCCGTATGAATTTGCATATGTAATGTAATGCTGTTTTTGTGCCTAAATGATTGAGAACAAAACGTGCACTTAAAGGGTTTCTTGTCCGCATGGATTTGCATGTGTAATGTAAGGGTGTTTTTGTGCCTAAATGATTGAGAACAAAACGAGCACTTGAAGAGTTTCTCTTCCGCGTGAATCTTCATGTGTAATAAGTGATGGCCTTTTCGCTTAAACGTTTTGAAACACGTGGAGCACTCGAAGGGTTTCTGGTTTGAGTGAATAAGCTTGTGCATATCGAGACATGTGATGGTGGAAAAAGTTTTCCCACACACCTCGCAAAGGACTGAACTTTTTTTTATGCTCTCTTTATGATCGGAATTCTCTTTACGGCCCTTGTACATATTGGTAAATAATTCGCCTTTGTTGATGTTAGGATAACAAAGAGAACAAAGCAGA